GGCTGAGAAGATGGTACAACTGACCACTCCAGTCAGAGTCTCTGATGAAATTGTTCGATGAGCCACCTACCACTAAATCACTTGACGATTTCTGGGTTGAACTACCCAAGGGTAAATCCGGCAAGAGAAAACAGAAAGCCGGAGATTCTGATGAGGAAAGACAGCAACACAAGAAATCCTGCAAGGCACAGCGGAAAAACGCAAGAGAAGATGAAATACTCGCACAATAACAGCGAGATACGGTGTTAGCTGGAGCTTCTGGTAGCGGAGTACATGTCCCGGTTAATGGTAGCCAACATGATCCACAACTAGGTTCTAAGACTGCACTCGTTGATAAGGGTGACGATGCTGACCCAGCTACCGGCACCTAGAGCACCGTAGGTATGACCCATCCTGATAGTCGTGCTTTTTTTTTTATTCATTGACTTTGAGAGCAAAGTCTTTTTGTTTGGGGAGGGGGTGGTGAGCAACCTGCCAGTTAAAATGAACAGAGGTTGACTCTGTGTTTGTTGATAATTGTGATTGATGTGTGTGGGTTTTTGAGGAAAAAAATGAAGTTTTGGTGTGTTGGGATGTGGAACTAGTCTGTTGGTAATGATGACCTTGATATGAATTTTGGCTGTTAGGATATTTAGATGACATCTTATGTACTGACATGTTGAACATTGCTAGTATGAAAAGAAAGTAGTGAACCAAGAAACTGGAGAATGCAGTCATGTGTCATGTGTGAGTTTTTTCTTGAAGTTTAATGCTAGGAGCAGAAACTAAAACTTGCCCGAGTAGTCTTGCTTAAATCTGAGAATAACTCGATAGGAAAGGATCAATTGGCCATTTTTGCTAAGCCATTAAAAAACAAAAAAAAATGAAACAACCAAATAAAAATCTTATCCCTTGAACCCGATTTGAGCTTGAAAACCAATTTTGTTCTTACCCAACAAATGTCATATACTTGCGTCTCCAAAGATACGATGTCACAACTCAGGCCAAAGACCTAAGTTGAGGGTGATTGCAACACGGGCAAAAAGGAAAAGTGAAGAAGAAGGTTCAATCAGTTAGCTGATAGCACAATACAAAATTTTAAAAAAATAAAATAATAATGGTTGTTGGGAGGTACTGAAATGAACAAAAAGAGGGAATTACTCAGAAAGAGTTGCGTGCAAACGAAACTTTGGAGAACCAAGGGACTAGTCACTCACAAACCCAAATATCCATTGCCTAGCCTAGGCCTATGTTACAATCCGATAAAGTCCTACAGTGATCCTATTCCGGGTGTTTGAAAGATAGAGAATAGAAAGCAAGGGCAAGCCTATGATCTTTTGTTGTTAGTGTTCAATGTTCTTTGAGAGTGCGAGCGTAGAACTTAGTCCCAATTATCATGAGTGAGGGACTTCCTTGGTGTGAGGACACAATGATTGCATTTGATAGTAGATTGTGTTAGCTGCTAGTACACATGCATAAGCATGGTAGACTGTGAGTAATGGGATGTCAGATATTGATCCTTTCATGTTAAATTGATGGTTTTGGATATAATGTGTGATTGAGATAGGTGTTGCACAATGTCAAAAAGATTTTGAATGTTTGATTGTTGAATGTATTATTTTTTTCTCATCACTTGAGGACAAGTAATGGTTCTAACTTGAGGGTGTTGATGTACCGCGAAATCTTGGCCCATTTGATGCTTGAAAAGTAAGAATTAGTACTAAAATCGGGTGTAGTTATATGGCTATGATGTGTTTGGTAGCGTTTGGTTAGGTGAAACAGGTGGAAGTTAAGGAAAATAAAAAAGAAGAAAATTCAGTGAAAGTGAATTGAAGTAAGTAAAGACCACGGATGACCTCACGAGCCGTGGTCTTCACTACTGATCGTGGAGCTGCTCGTAGAGTTGAACCAGTGCTTAGGGTTGGAGGAGATGAAAGATGATTGAACCAAGTAAAGACTACGGATGACCTCACGGGCCGTGGTCCTCACAACGGTCCGTGGTGAGAGTCGTGAAGATGATCCAGTGAATGGGCAATGAAAAGTTGAAGATGGAATTGGTCAAGTGAAGACCACGGACAACTATACGGACCGTGGTCATTGTCATGAGTCGTGGTGGGGTCCGTGGTGATGATCCAGTGTACAGGCCTTGAAGAACCTATTTTGGATGAGTGCAACTGAAGACCACGAAGGGCTTCACAGACCGTTGAGCCCTTGACGGATCGTGGAGGCAGTCGTGAAGCTGCGCGACAGATTAGTCCTACTTCGAGTAGAACTCATTTTAAACATCCAATTTGAATTAATTAGGGATTTTTTTCAGTTTATCTTATCTTATATAGAACAAAGAACAAAGTTTGGAAAAATTCTTAGCTTTTGGTTTTGAACATTAACATCGAATCAAGTTTGGAAGTTGGATTTTGGGTTTTTGAATTGTCAAAGCGATTATCGATTTTGCTTATTTTCATAAGTATATTCTTGTCATGTTTTCATTATATACTTCTTTATGTCTATGTGAAATCATGAGTGGCTAAATACCATAACTGGGATTGTAGGATCTGTGACGTAAATCGAAGTGTAATTTCATAAAACGAGTGAAAGGCAATTTATATTTGCAGATTATAATTTAGCTTTTGTTATTCATGTATTATAATGAGTGCACACATTAGAGTGAGCTTTTATCTGTCATTTGTTCGAGAGAAAAATTATAGTTGGGAAAAAGCTAAATTAACCTGAAAAAATAGAGTCAAAGTTCGAGAGAAGAGAGAAGAGAACTTTAACACTATCGTAGGCGAGGGTAAAACCTGTTAACACTCTAAGACCGAGAGGTCTTGAGTGAAAGTTATCTAATTAGACTGAAAAGGGTTAGATATATCTGTATCGCCCGTATTTTATAGAGATGAATTGCCTAAAACTCATTTACGGAAAAATAGGAGATGAAACGTTATAATGAACACAATCCTAGTTTCATTTAATTATTGAAACATCTTTAGAACTTAATACTGTGTTAATTGTTAATCTAGATTTTGATTACCAATCTTAGTTACTAGAAAATCACAACTAAACCCAAATTTATATTCCGTAAGTGCTCTCTTTAGGTAATAATAACAACATTTGGGTAAATGCGACAGTGAAATCATTTTTGTAAAGAAATTCTCTGTGGGATCGACCTCAATTCACATTGAGTTCTATAAATTGACTTCGACCATTTATACCTCTTAATTGAGGTGTAAGTTTGTACGTATCAGTCACCCTCATAGTCCCAGAACTACGTGCCCCCATAGGATAAGTCCCCTATGTGGGCATTATATTTAGTGATCACGCTAGTCATGCCTTTATCTCCCAAGCAAGGTATATTGGATCCTCTCGATGGGGCATATACATCGGACTCCACGTTTAAGTCATGTGGTTTTATGACGGTTAATAGTAGGTCCCACAGTCAGATTCTAGTGCATTGACCAGGTTACCAGTTATATTTCAGTATTTAGTTTCAGTATGTTATGAACTTGGTCATTGCAGTCAGTTTAGTTCATGTTCAGTATGCTCAGTATATTCTTCATGTTCATCTTATATCATTGATCAATATGCTTTATTCAGTTATGTATATATTGTTCAGTTTTATCCTATCCTGCATGCTCAGTACCCTTCAAGTACTGACGCATACTCTACGCTATATCTTCTCGTGATGTAGTTTCAGGCCCACAACATTCAGATCGCGTGTAAATCAGTTCCCGATCCATACTCTGCATTATTAGTGGTGAGTCCTCATTCTCCGAGGACGATCAACTTGTTTTCGTTTACTTTCAGTCTTTTAGTTTCAGTTTTTCTAGAGTTAGCCTGGGGCATGTCCCAGCATCTCTAGTCAGTTAGAGGCTTTTATTCAGACATAGTTAGATTCAGTTTTGGTTTTGAGTTTGATCTTCTAGTTGTTATTAGTCTCATAGTCTTTTATATTCAGACTTTGGGTATTTCCCCATCATTTTAGTTTATCTCATGACTTAAGGCTTCCACATAGTATTTCTTGTTTTAGTTTATCTTAGTATGCTATGATATGCCAGCTCAAGCTTAGCTTGGGGTCACTTGTGATCCTAGGTCCCGTGTTTACGTCAAGCGGGTAGCCTCGGGGCGTCACATATGTCATTTCCATTTGATAAATAGCTCAAATAAATGGCATAGATGAGCCTTTTCTCAAAATTTGATGGCAGATTTAAGCTTTTTTCCTATTTAATATATCAGAAAATCATATTTCTTCTTAATTCTAATTTTTTTAAATAGAAAATAATTTTCTAATATAAATAAATTAATATAATTTATTTAGTTGAGTGTTTATATGAAAATCTAAGACACAGATAAAAACACAAAAAAAAAAACACTTTGAATTTAGCCGATCAATAAACTTCAGTCAAATTCAATTAAATGAATATGACACATTTTACCTTAAGCTAAAGATAACTTTAAATTAAATGTTTTCACATCTACCAAAGAATTGAAAAGAAACTTAGATTTTGTTTCAATCATAAAATTTTTGCATTTACTTGTAACTGTTGTTTTCTATTACACTTTAAAAAGGAAAAAATAAATAATAAATATCATCTTTATCCTGTTTGAAGACCATATATACATTGACATAATTGTGGTTGGAGCTCAAAAAAAAAACTTATCTTTAATTTTCTGAAAATTTTGCAATTGCTAATTTCACAAAGGAATAAATTGACATAATTGTGGTTGGAGCTGGACCATCTGGTATAGCTGTATCAGCCTGTTTAAACAAATTGGGCATAAACAATGTTGTTTTAGAAAAACAAGATTGTTTTGCTTATTTGTGGAAGAAAAAGACTTATGATAGACTGCATTTGCATCTATCAAAGGACTTTTGTTCATTGCCGTTTATGCCACATGCAACTTCATCAACTAAGTATATGCCGAAAAAAGAATTTATTCAATACTTAGATGAGTATGTTGAGCATTTAAACATCAAGCCAAAATTTCAAACTTGTGTTGAATCGGCCTTTTACTATAGTGGGGAAATGAAATGGACTGTCAAATCAAGAAATTTGACTAGCGGAAAAATTGAAATATATGCTAGTGATTTCTTGATTTTGGCTACTGTAGAAAATAATGAAGGTTATATTCCAAATATGATAGGAATAGAAAATTTCAAAGGCGAAATAATCCATTCAAGTGATTACAGATCTGGTGAAAAATATAAGGATAAAAAGGTATTGGTCGTTGGATCAGGAAATTCTGGAATGGAAATAGCTTTTGATCTTTCAAATTATGAAAGTCAGACGTCATTTTTTGTTAGAAGTCGAGTAAGTCTCTCTATCTCTTTATGCATTATCTTTACTTTTATCGTTATTTGTTTGCATGTGAGTAGGTTTGTGTTTGTTATAAAAAGAATTAAATGGTGGTGTTCGATCAGTTTAGTTGTACATCAACTATTTTACATGGTACCTGTTGCTTCTTACTAGCATTTGTAATGTTGTAACTTGATTCATCAAGATATTGGGTATGTGTTTCTTCACCATCAACACCAGGTCATACCCTTATGTGAAAGGGCCAGAATATGAACATGATTTCTCATAATTTTCATTCTACTTTATTGAATATCCATCGAGTCATAAATACTCTTGTGGTATTTCTTATCTAAAAATATATTTTTGAATTAGCTTCACCTCCAATAATTTCCACCAATTCGTAATTTGTGTTAAATTTCACAAACATACTCTCCAAGCACTATACAAAATTGCAAAAACAACCTCGATTCTAAATTCAAAGTTGATTTAATAAAATTAGTTGTTCTTTAAAAAGGGAATACTGGTTTATTAGAAAGTGATTAAGGAATATGGTGTTCGATTATTGTAAATACAAAATTTTGGGATAGATATTTAAATATCCTAAAAACATAGAAAGATCTCATTACTCCATTTTTAAATTGCACAAAATTATAAAAAAATTAAATTCAAGTCTCATTGGATATCTTATATAGTGAGAAAAAGAAGACTAGGATTTGGAGATGTATAAGTATAAAAAACTCATATATTTTTTACTTTGAGGAACTGAATTCGAAGAAAGAGAACTAGGGTTTCTTTTTCTTATAAGTAGATTCTTTAATTTTGCTAAGTTTGTCCTATTAACAATTTTATACTTCGTCATTTCACATGTTGCACAGATAACATATTTTACTTTTTAAGAATTTGAATCTCATAATTTCGAAGAAACTTGTCTATAGATATTAGTTAGATGACTTGATAAATGATAGTACAAAAAATTATATTGCACTAACTGTATACGAAACATAGATTTCTCTTTTAATATAATCTTTCGTGCATTACTCATATATATTTCTTTTTTTAGAACCCATGACAATTCCAGTTACCAACTTTGATCTATGTTTTTGAATACTACAAGTTATACACAATTATGTTATAATTGATCTGATTTTGTACTTCTTTTTTAATATATCATCAAAATATGAAACTTACACTCGTAAATATGTATATTATAGTTCATGATGTTCTCCCAAAGTGCTATAACTTTTCTATAGTTAAATTATGCAATTTTTCACATGCACAATCAATTATATTTTTGATAAATATGGTTGTAAATTCTAAAATTTTAATACATTTTGTCTTAGTGTTTTTGCAGATTCATGTTCTAACAAAGGATATGGTGTATACTGCAATGTTGTTGCCAAAATATTTACCAATATCTTTGGTTGATACTGTAACTACAAAGTGCACAAAATTTAAATTTGGAAATTTTGAAGAATTAGGAATACCACAACCAGAAGAAGGCCCATTTTCTGTTAAAAGATCAAAAGGTAGATCCACAGTAATTGATGTTGGTGTCATTGACAACATTAAACTTGGACAGATTAAGGTATGATACTATCTTTATTTTATTTCATTCTATTTTGAGAAATATTATGTGTAAAACAGATTGGTTTAGTTTTTTCCGAGTGTTTTGATCTGATAGTTAAAGTACAACATGTGATGTATGGTTAGGCGCACATCACGAGTTCAAATTTGATTACTACCAAGAACATAGCAGTAGTATTTAATGAAGAAGAATAAAAATACATGTTCATTATCATGGGAAACAGTTAAATTGTTATAGTTACGAAATCGGTAGAATTTAGTAATTTCGGCTAATACAGTATATTTGTGTAAATAGTTCATCTGATATGCATTAATAATCTATTATAAAAAAGGAAATAACACTTGGGTGTTTTTTGTGATATAAGTTTTGGTCAATTGATTATTAGGTACTATTTGAAATATCATAAATAAAGGAACATACAGTAGTGTTTGACAATGGAAATGAACATCAATTTGATGCAATCATTTTTGCTACTGGATACAAGAATATTGCTACCCAATGGCTAAAGGTACATTTTACAAACTATCACTCTGTTCCTTTTTTTTAATTTTGAATTTGAGTCTTGAAATTTTCCACTTGCTTGTAAATATCGTGTGCGGATAAGTTTTTCTCGATAAGTTTTCCTGGTTACTAATTTAGCTTACAATTAATTTTACCATCATTGTCTCAAATAATGTACAAATTTTTTTTCTTTTGTATGCAGGATTATAGCTGAATATTCCTTGACGATGGCACATTGATAAATTGGAAAGGAGAGAATGGGCTATATTGTGCTGGATTTTCAAAAAGAGGGATTGCTGGTATTTCAATGGACACTAGAGATATTGTTGATGATATTAAGATTGTTAGGGGAGACAAAATTTAGATTATTATTATTATATCAGACTATGTTGTTAAATAAATTTTCTAAACCCTGCGTAAATGCAAAATGCTTTCTGTACCGGGCTTGACTTGTTAAGTCCAACTAGAACTTAAAAACATTGTTTCTTTTAGTATGTTTTTTTATTGTAATCAAGTTTCTACTATCATAGAAATTTGGTGAAACTTTTCTGATTGATTGTCTTTCTTTGTTGAATTTTTTTTTTATAATGATGGTGCGGGATTCAAATCGCACACATTTCGACTATTATATCGAACATTTGCTATCTCTTGCCAGCACAAGTATCGAATAACTCTACACATCAAATTAGGTAACTTTTATTTGAGACATTTATTAACAACGTGAATGAAATCTATTATGTCCTTTTTTTTTATAGTAAAGTAGATCAAGAGAGAGAGAGAGAGAGAGAATTGGCTTCTTGAGAATCTGTTTTTCCTTCAATTCCTTGATGTTCATAAGGTACATAAAATTAAATGTACATTGAGCAGTTAACATTCCATCTTGCTAAGGTCATTGCTAGGTCAATCTGTACAAAATGTCTTAATGAACCATTACAAAAATAAGAGGATGACGATGGGTAGGTTACCTAGCTCATAAGAAATACTCCCTACGTCCTAGCAAGAATGTAAAAGTTGTTGCAGATGATTCAACTAGATACGCACAACCTTATTGTTGTGCTTTCTTTTGGGCCAACTTTTTGTGTCTAATTTTCCCAACCACTGAGAAGAAGAAGTTTCTCCCTAGGTTTCATCTGATCTTTTCCTTTTTGACCAGATAGAGTTTGGTGGTACATTGTCCCCATTTGACTGTCCCAAATTCGCTAAAGATTCTTTTCCCCAACCTTTGGTAGACCATTTTCCTTTTGAACAAAGATAGTCGGATGGTCCACCATCCTCCTTAGGTTGTCCCCAACTCGTTGAACGTACTCCTTCCCAACCTTCAGTAGGCTATTGAAACGACCCCAAAAATGCCCGAAAATGTGCTTCGAAAACACCTAAAATTGTAATTTCCATATATCTCAAAATCCGTGCATCATTTCGGAAATTCGACTTCATATTCTTATTCAGGGGGTCAAATTGAGTGGGAAATGAGTCTAACCCGAATTTTAGAACAACCGTATCAAAATTTGAAAATCGCAAAAAATGCGATTTTGAGGGTCAACTTTAAAGGGGCATATCTCTCAGCACACAAGGAACTGGAAGGAGCTCAAACTATCAAAATTAAAGCTCTGTGAGTTAGCTTTCCAACGCAATTTGTTTCACCTCATTCCGAGTTAGGATGAAGGAGTTATGACCATTTTCGTAAAACCTGTCCGACAGAAAATGCAAATTCCAGTAGCCGAAAACACTGTTCACCCGCCTCAATTTTTTTCTAAGTGTTGGGACG